AGATTGAATGGCGCTGAGTTTTTCATGAGCCAAGCTCACCCCTACCAATAATAAAGCGACTTTGGTTGATTTGCTGTATTCCTATTAGGTTGAATATTAATGATATGGCCAATTTGAAGATTTAATTGGACAAAGGGCCCTTTTATCTGCCACCAGTTCATTCTTGGTCCCTAGTCCACATGAAACCGGATCTGCTATGAAAAAAATGCTTCCACGAGCCCCCCAACAAGCAACAATAGTCGTACATCAAGGGCCCAATGTTTTTTGGATTTTGAGAGGGGGAAAGTTGGTCAATGGGATTTTGGTTCCCATTGATCAAGATACCCATGTTCTTTTTTCAGATTTATGTGGGGTCCCTCGAAAATTTATTTTTCTTGGGTATCACTTATTCATATAAATAATGCCCATCTCCCAGGTGGGGTAAGTAACTTTCCCACGGAAGGGGGGGGGGGAGGGAGTTGCTAACACTTGGATAGGACAAAACTGCATTTTTTGATAATGGCTTTTTATGGCTAAAATGGTCATTATCTTATTACCTGAGAAATAAAAGAACATGGGTAAATGCAATTACCCGATAAATGCATTTACCCGGTGAATAGGGCCCAAGATTCAGGAGGAAGTAGATCCAAACTCAATTCACTTGAATTTTGTACCCACCTTGTGTAGGGTTTCACGGTGCCTCTAAAACTAGGGTGGCAAGGTCTGACCCATCTAACCATTTTACTTACAATCCACACAAACCCACCCATTTAAGATCTGTGTAGAATATGGGTTGAAGCACTCGTTGGGTTTAAAAATGTTGGGTTATGGGTATCCATTTGGGTCCACTACATGAAAGAAGTTAGTTAAGTAATTCTTTTTCTATAATCATCTCTCTTCTCTCTCCCTCCACTTTCTCCTCCCATTTCTCTCTCCTATTTCTTTTCTCTCTTATCTCTCGTTACTCTCCACCCTCCCTCCAATCCATATCTCCTACCTATAAGACACTACAGATGTACATTAGGAACATCTCCCCATGAATGGTAACATGCAAATATGGGAAATGTTCTCAATGTGCGACTATAATGATAGGTGGATAGGGCTCTTGTGGGTAAGAGATCTGAACACCTCTCTCTCTATTATCCCGTTTCTTTCTCTTGATTCAATTTGCTTTCTCCTCTCCTGCCCCTCTCTTCACATGTTGCTCCTTTCTCCCTCCTCTCTATTCTCTCCTTTTTCTGTCTCCTCTTCTCTTTTCATTTCCCTCCTCCTTGGTTATCTCTTCTGTCCTTTTTAACAAATTCAATCTTGTATTTGGATTGAACCAACTCGGTAGTGACATGTGACACCAGCCACCTAATTTTTTTCTCCAGAAGGATTCATTTAGACAGATTTAAACATTCAAACGGGCCAAAATGGATGCATTAGATAGAGTATGGATTAGGTTCGGTTGCAACCCATGGATATGTGTGTATGTGACTTTTGTTAAAAGTTTAGTGACATTTGCAAAATGTCGCGAAATCTGATATAATTGTCGTAAAAAATTTTAACAACATTCACAATCGTGATGATAATGCAAATGTCACAAAAACTTTTTGGCGATGTTTCCCTAGCTTTTGATGATATTTATGAAAAGTCACGAAAAACCTTTTTCCTATATATCACCACTGATTGCTATAAAAATATTATGGTTTATGTCTTAAACGCATGCACCTTTTTAAACTTTAGGCTCAATTTTAATTTGTAAGTGTAAATACAAAGCAAAATCTTGTATACGGTACTATTTATTTATTTATGTTTGCAGTGTATTGTATTTGTACTCTTCCCAAACTGAACCTTATCAAAATTGGGATTTGTCCAAATCACTTCCCAAACTGTCGAAAGTAGAAACCGGGACCTTCTAGTTCGAAACCATCTTGGCATGCCCAGTTTCATTAAGGGGTTTTCCCATTGCAAAAATAATAAAAATGTGTATTTTACTGACCTGACAAATATATTTGCTTTTAGAAAACAATTTAAGGTCATCATGGACTAGGTCTGAGCCAAGTTCTGGACCTATATATGGTACCAGAAGAAATTTAACCAATCAATCAAACCACCTCATGAATTGCCATGAATACCACCTGATTGGTCACCTCTTTTATGATACCAATTGATTGGCTGTAAGTTTTTTTCGGTATCATATCTTTCAGATATTATAGTCAAATATATATATATATATATATATATATATATATATATATATATATATATATATGTGTGTGTGTGTGTGTGTGTGTGTGTTATAATTTATACACAAACTAGTGAGACATTTTACTAAAGGTTCAAAGTATCAATACAATATGTCTCGTGTATCTTTGGGTGCCCGATACATATGTTTACATGTGTTTGTAGGAACACGTGTTTGCAGGAATACATACATATTGTATGTATGTATATATGTATGCATGCAAGTATGTATGTATGAAATAGATGTTATAATTTATACACAACTAGTGAGATTTTTTACCTAAGGTTCAAAGTACCAATACGATCCATACAAAAAAAAAGTATCAATACGATATGCCTCGTATCGGGCGCATCCTATCGTATCTTTGGTACCCAATACACCTGTTTACATGTATTTTCAGGAACACATTTTTTATTAAATAATATGTATATAAAAGTATGCCTAAAATTGAAATTTGAAAAACCTAAAAAAAAATAAAAGGTGCAATAGTTTAAAGTACCCATACACAAAGGTGTATGATAGTTTGAACCATATTGATTTTACCAGCACTTTAGAATAAAAAACAAATGTAGGGGTGATTGTTTGAACCGTAGAAAACAAACATAATTAACCAAGTAGGGGTGTCAATTGGATGGGATGTGGTTTAATCTGATCCAGTCCAATGTGAATCCATTATAGATAGAATAGGTCCAATTCAATCTGATAATACTTTGGACCATTTTGTATCAGTCCAATTCAATGTCTAGATCATCTAATCTATTCAAATTGGTTCTAATTTAGATTGATTCCGATCATACCTGGTCCATTGACACCTGTGATCACTAAATTAGTTCAATCAAACCCAATACTATATAAATCCATGGATGGACCATGTCCAATCCAATCTAATAAATATTTTGAACCATTAAATTTGGACTCATCCAATTCAATATGCCTTATATTGGACCAGTCCGTCCAAATTCAATCCAAAACCGGTTTATTGACACACCTTTTCCCATTTTGATGAGTCAACTGATTTTATAATGTTTATTGAAAGTATGCTACCGATAAGCAGAATTTGATGTTTGGTTTTAGAGCATAGGTTACAACTTACAATGAACTAATACGGTAATACCCAATTGAACTGATCGATACCACGCACCTCATCAAAGTTTCAGAGAAACTCAAACTGATGTAAGAGGGTGGGAACAAGGTTGGCCGGCGGAAAACACCAACACGTAACCCATGTTGTGAGGAAGATTGAGAATTTCAACACATGAGCAGCGTGGCTTTGGTATCCACCGTCGGAAGTAGCTAGCCCTGTCTTTGCCTGGACCCCGCCCTAGCTGGGTTGGCCGATTGATGGGCAGCCCTGTTAGCACTTGATGATAGGATTTCTCAGTCGTGAATTTGGAGAGATGCTTTCCTACGTTGCGGGGAAAGTGACCTGATTTGGACAGATAAGATACCTCAAGTTCTGGAGTGAGGAATCTTATCACTTTTATCCCAATCTTTGTATTTTATCAGTGAAATAATGGCTAAGGGTTTGGTTTTTTCTCTGTGGTTTGGACTTGGAGTGTTTCTCTGTCATTCGTCTCGAATTGAATTGGGTTGTAGTCGTTATCTTTTTGCATGTCACATTTTTTTATGTCCACATGATTGATTGAATCTTATAAGCGCTTCATTAGAATGACACGTAACGTAAACTTGGGAACGTAGAGACAATCTTAATATCCAATCGATTGCTTAACGATTTATTAATGGATGTATTGAGCAAATAATCAAAGAAGAAGCAACTTTTGATTGGCCAAAGTAGTTTTCAGTTCCACGAACGATTTAACATAAATGGAATCTTAATATTTTATTCATAAATGGAATGTAGAAACGGCATTGGAGCTTAGTGAACTGCAACTCCATGCACGAAAATCAAATCATATATACAGTCGTAGTTTGAATAAGGGTCCGTTTGGCTTACAGTTAAAAATTGGAATCTCAACCAAAATTAGAATCAGAATGGTCTATTCCTAAGGTTGGCAATTTTCCCCATCCCGGTCGAGTACCTGATCTTCCCAATCCGATGGGGTCGGGTTGGGGATGGGGAATGAAATCCCCACCCCACCTCGACCCCAATTATTTATATTATATATTTGAAAAAATATATACTAGTATTTATATCATATATATCAAAATATATTTAAAATATTATTTATATTTTAACTTTTTCTTTATTTTAAGTAAATTTGTTTTTCAAAAATATTGATAATTAAAAAATTTTCAAGGATTTGTATCTCTGCAAGGAACCCATCTACACTGGGAATTGGGAATGGAGGACAACTTTTATCCCCGATGGGGATCAAGGTTGGGGTTGGAGACAGGGAATATGGTCTCTACCCCGTTGTTATTCCTATCTATTCCTCCCATTTATTTGGTTCAGATGAAATTTGGAATTGAAATCAAAATCAGAATCAGCTGGAATGGATTCTCATTTCCAAGGGAGGCTGGGGAAGGAATGATCATTCCCTCAAAAGGAGAATGTCATTCCACTAGGAATGTGTCCAACCAAACAGGAAACCACCATGCCGATTCCAATTCTAGACCCCTATTCTCACGAACCAAATGGACCCTAGATCTTCATTTTCAGGTGGGACCATCTGGTCCAAATCAGTAAAAGACCCCTAGCACGGCAAGCCAACTACTGGAAACTAAATCACCGTCCAGTCTCCGTCCCAGCAACTATAGTAGAGCAAAAGAGAATCGATCTGTCACTATGGGAAGCATCAAATTGTGTCTATATAAAGCAGACACATTCACAAAGGTTGGACATCTTCGACTCGTATAGCTAGCCTATACTTCTCCTTTCTCATATAGCTCTTCGTGGGTTCCTACAATGGCTTCTTATTGCACGACGGGGTCCCAATTTCTTTGCTTGGCGCTGCTGCTAGCTTTGGGAATTTGGGTTTCCCAAGCTGCAGCTCGCACTCTCCCAGCAGAAGCATCTATGCTGGAGAGGCACGAGCAATGGATGGCTAGTCATGGTGTCCTGTACGAGGATGCTGTGGAGAAGGAAAAGCGGTTCACTATATTCAAGGACAACGTCGAGCGCATAGAAGCCTTCAACATGGCTGGGAACAAGCCATATAAACTTAGCGTCAATAGATTTGCAGACCAAACCAACGAAGAGTTCAAGGCATCTCGTAATGGGTATAAAAGGTCTACACAGCCATCGTCGTCTAAAACATCCTTCAGGTATGAAAATATGACTTCAGTCCTCCCAAGTATGGACTGGAGAAGCAAAGGAGCTGTCACCCCCATCAAGGACCAAGGCGACTGTGGTAAGATATGGCACAACAATATCTTATTAGTAGAATAATAAAACAGAAATTATGTGCTTATATAATGTTTTAAAAACCAATCCAGAGCTGGAATCCCTTTGGCAACCGGTTTTTGGGTGGCTGATTAATTAACTCAATTTTTTTTGGCAAAATTCTGCAATAGAACCGGTTGTCTGGATGGTTTCTGAGTCAAATGGTCCAACCATCCGGGCCAACGGTGGCACAATTGGCTCATGCATATATGTTATATCAAATTAAATACAGGGTGTTGTTGGGCATTCTCGGCTGTGGCAGCCATGGAAGGGATTACAAAGCTCAAGGCAGGTAAACTGATCTCTCTCTCAGAGCAAGAACTGGTAGACTGTGACACCGCCGGTGGTGATTATGGGTGCGAGGGTGGTTTCATGGATAACGCCTTCCAATTCATCCAACACAACGGAGGCCTCACCACCGAAGCCAACTACCCATACAAGCAAACAGACGGAACTTGCGACAAGAGGAAGTCAGCTTTGTCTGCAGCTAAAATCAGTGGGTACGAAGACGTTCCAGCCAACAACGAGGTGGCGTTATTGAAGGCTGTTTCCAACCAACCAGTTTCGGTGGCCATAGATGCCGGTGGCTTTGATTTCCAGTTCTACTCAAGCGGCATCTTCACCGGGGAGTGTGGAACCAACCTAGACCATGGTGTTACTGCAGTTGGTTATGGGACGAGCAGTGATGGAACCAAATATTGGCTGGTGAAGAATTCATGGGGCACTACTTGGGGGGAGAAAGGGTATATAAGGATGAAGAGAGATGTGGCTTCCAAGGAAGGCCTCTGTGGCATCGCCATGCAAGCCTCCTATCCTATTGCCTAATAGCTATAGTTTTTAAATCATGGTTTTAACCCAAAACCATAATCAGTTCCAGATCAAACGGTCCAACCGTCCGGTCCAATTTTAAAAACCATGATTTAAATTGCTTTATCCTCCACGTTACTTGTTTTTTAATTTGTGCTTATTTTTTATATGTATCTAATATATATATATATATATATATATATATAAGCATGTGTACTTAATTAATTTGGTCGTTTCCCTCTTAAGGGATGGAATGTAAATGGTTTTATGATGTTAATGAAAGCTTGATCTAGTGCTGGTTTCTGTTGTTGGGTCGTATATTCTTTGTACTTTAAGTCCTGGAAAGCAGAAATGTGTTTCTTGTCTTCTTTTTTTCTTTTGTTGAAGTGTTCGTTTAGGGGTCTTCAATCTTCATGTAGAGATGTAGATTGGTCCAATTGGGTATACTACACCTTTCTCTATCTAATCGTGGACCAGTTAAATGACGGACAAAGCAGCTGTTGATGACAAACGCATTTCATCAGCAAATGAACAAGTGTCAATATACAGTACTGAACTGGTAAGCGTTCTTTCCATTCTACATGGAGAGGACTTGAATCAGTTGATTGCTACTTCGCTTGAAAGCGATAAACCTATGAAGTAGGACCTTCAAACGAAATTGAACCCTGTAACCATTGTTCAATTTCGACCATCTGATCTGTATAAATCAGTTGGTGATGTTTTAAAAGAATTAAAAAATTAAAATATAAAAACTGCCCAGAAACCATTGTTCGGATTAATGGTTCAACCATCAGCTGGGTCAATGGGTGGGAAAAAGTGGTTCGGGGCTGAAATAAAACTGATACCCTGCCCGCTTTTCTGTCCGATCGACCATCCAGGTCACGGTGAAAGATAGTTTTAAAACCTTACTCACTATAGTGAATTAAAAAATTTGTTTCACTGGCTGATCCAATTAATTTCCCTTTCTACGTCAAAAGCAGTGAAAATACAACAATACCCGAAATATCAACATACAAAGTAGAAGGTAGGCTTAGATATGATATAGGATTTTACCTGGTCGGCCTTGTCCCTTCTTTTATTTATTGCATTTTGTGTGTGGAGAAAAGCGCTGCATGAAATCTACTTTGGACGACCTAGTGTCATTTTAGTCTCTGAATGCGATAATTTAGTATTTAAATTTTTAAAATGTATCAATTTAGTACTTGCTGTTAATCATTTCATTAACTAGTCGTTAATGGTATTTGAAAAGAAAAATGTTTTTTTAGTGGCATCTATTTTATTTTTATTTTTATCAACATCTAAACGTTAATAAAAAATGAACAGCAATGGTTTTTAAAACTGAACCGGTGACCGAACCAGTCAGGGGTCTGGTTACCGGTTCGAACGGTCCGACCGTTTGACTCAGATGGTCAGCCTATTCTGACAAAAAATAAAAAAAAAAATAAAAAAATTGAAAAACGGTCAAAACCATTTGAATAGTTAACCGACCAGTTCAGCGGTTTGCTAACCAAAATCAATGGTTTTGGGGAAAAACGGAACCGGTCAGGTGATCGGTTCCCAGTTTTTCTGGTCTGACCCTCCGGTCCGGTCCGGTTTTGAAAACCATGATGAACGGTCCCAAATCCTTTCCTCTTCTATTCAAGAAAATTAGGGTCACATCTCAATGGGCATTCTGGTGATTCTAACTTTGTTGAAAAAAATAATAGACAAGGATTTAGGACTGTTTATTTTTTATCAATGCTTAGATGGCTGATAAAGAAAATTAGATGACATTGGAAGGACATTTGTGTCTTTTCAAATGCAACTTAACAGATGGTTAATGGATTGGACTGGTTAACGATAGGTAATGGATTGACATGTTTTGAAAGTTCGAGTACTGAATTGCATGGTTTTTAAAACCGACCCAAAGACCGAACCGGTCAGGGATCCGGTTACTAGGTCAAACGGTTCGACCGTTTGAACCGAACACTCGGACTGTTCTGAGAAAAAATAAAAAAAATTTAAAAAATAAAAAATGGTCAAAACCGTACGAATGGTTCAAATGCCCAGTTCAGCGGTTTGCTGACCAAAATCAATGGTTTTGGGGGAAAATCCGGTTTTTGGGAAAAACGGAACCAATCACCTGACCGATTCCCGATTTTTCTGGTCCAACCATCCAGTCCGGTCCAGTTTTAAAAACCATACTGAATTATCACGTCTTAAAATTCAGGGACCAAAGCGGCACTAGGCCGAAATTACAGGATTCTAATTAAGAATTTTCTCGAAATGTTATGTGTGCATTACAGTTTATTATAAACATTAATTAGGTCTAATTAATATATTTAAAAAGGGTTATAACTTATACTATTATGGGACTAGTGCCATAATGGAAAATACCTATTAGCAATACAAGGGGTTTTATTATCGTTTCATTCTCATATTATAAATTTTCACATACTAACATTTATCTATTTAAAACATATTCTTGTAGAAAATGCAGAATCAAAATTTGTCATTTTTAATATTGAAAAAGGTCATAATTATATTAAATATTACCCTTAGGCTTTAGAGGCGATCCTGTCAAATTATTGCTTTTGAGGACTAAGACTTAAAAATAATTTATTTTGACATATTACAAATCCCTACTATGTTAATTTGAAAACATATCTTAATTTGCCCGCACGTCAAAGCAATATTTAACATATTCATGAACTTGTTAATAAACTTTCCTATATAAATATAAATGCGAATATACACAATTAACTAAAATTTAACATACATAACATTAATGACATATATAATATAATATAATATAATAAATTGTTAAAATGGGTTTTGCATATATAATTCAGCCCAACGTTTTCAAACCGTCGTTGACCCAGACGGCCGGACCGTTCGGCCCAGGAATCGTTTAGGTAACCAGTTCCATTTTACCTCAAACCTGAAATTTGATAAAAAAATCGTTGAAAAAGTCAATAAACCATTGACCCGGGCGGTAGAACTGTCGACCCATTCAATGGTTTTTGACATTTTTTTTATTTTTTTAATTATTTTTTAATTTTGCTGCCAGAATGGGCCATCTGTTTGAACTGGACGGTTAGACCGTCGACCCAAAAACCGGTCAATAGAACGGTTCCATTTCGGGGTCATTTTTTAAAACGTTGGTTCAGCCTATTCTTGCAAATATTTATTTATTGCTTATCTTATATTCTTGTGTGGGGTTCGTTATTTAATATTCTTTATTTATTGAAAATCTTTGTTTTATGTTCTTCTAAATATGGTTTTGATAAAAAAGAATTATGAAAACATGTAGGTTATAATTTAGGGAGAATGACGGTTCAGTCCAGGGTCAGAATTTTTAGGCCCAAAGTACAGTTGATATAAATATCAGCTTGGAATTGATGTCAATTCACAGGTGGACATTTTTGTATGGAATGGGCATTATTGACATTTTAAATGTTTATAAATCTGTAATAAAATTCAGAAATCTACATTAGGCTTGCCCTTACTTTTCCAAAAAAAAAAAAGAAAAAATCCGTGGTTTTATTTCTCTTGCATGATCGTTGTTCTAGGAGTTAGCTAGTCTCATTCACCACTTGATAATCAAGACAACTCTATAGTCAAATTACATGGCCCTAATTAGTTAGGCTATCATATCATATATTCATATTGATTAACTCTAATCCATAAATAATTCAAAAATAAGTCATAATGTGGTCAGCTTATTTCCGTTTTTCAACATCTCATCTAACATTCAAAATTTTTCACAAAACGAAGAGGCGTATCCTTATCATCCATATTTGAAAAAGCGGAAATACATACTTCCTGAAAGGAGTGATTTTATTTATTTATTTGTATGACCATCTTCATAAGGTTTCCGATGTCGCTTTCAAAATGTAAAAATCGTTAAAAGTTGGAAATAATAATAATACCCCACGTCAGTCACAAGCCATCCATGCAAAGAGAGAAATTGAGTTATTGTGAGGCATGACATAAGATGTTATTATTGGTTATTGTGAGGCATGACACCAGTGTTTTTGAACTGCATGCCGTTGATCTGAATGATTAGACCGTTCGGCTTGAAAATTATTTGGGCAACTGATAATTTTTTACCGTTTTTCTATTTTAGTTATGTTTTAATTTAGAATGAAATCTGATGAAGGAAGATTTGGTTCGATCTCGTGATCATTCAACACGTGGCAAAGGCAACAGCTCGGCACAACAGTGCGTCCAAGGTGCGAGTTCCGAAAGGATGAACCAGTGGTCCGAACTCCCTACAAGGAGCCCGAATTCCTCGCAAGGAGCCCGAGCTCTCCCTTATTTCCCGAGCCTTACAAACACAAAGGGCAACAACCCGAACTGGCCTGCCCCATGGCAGTTCGGGACACACCTCTATCTGAACTCGAGACTTCACCTCGCTCACCACTCCAGCACTTCGCCTCCAGGACGCCAAACTGAACAACCGTACCACGCCTGACACCGAGGAAGTCCGTACCCAGGGGTGGCGCACCTGATTGACTTGGGATCTGACGCTTGACAGCCGCACTTCGACAGCTACCTGCCACCGCCACTTGCCACCGCCATCTCCAGTTGCAGAGACGGCTCCAACAAAGAGAGCAGCGGCGCCCATTTCATTTTTCAACAATCGAATTTGAATCATTTTTGAAATGACAAAAATGACCACTATATTGAGGGATTCCTCTTCCGCCTTCGCCTTGACCACAAAATCCGGTGAACCTGCCATCGGATAATAAACAACCTATTTACTCTTGCTAATTCGTCCAGTCGTCAATAAGCTTCTATGATTAACGAACTTACTTCACCTGGTCGTCAACAAATGCCGATGTGACATCCCATAGTAAATGTGCCGGAAATCCCACATCACAGCATGAACATCTCTCATTGCAATCGTCTATACTGGTGGCTCTGCCTTGTAGTTCAATGGGGGAAATACTGAATCTTCACAAAACCTAGGAACCGAAAACCCACCTCCATTGTTTGCATCGCTTGGTGTCAGGATCTTCGAGAGTGACAAAATCATTTCCTCATAATCCTCAACCTCACCATCCTGCGACAATCCCATTGCAACTGATGGCATACGAACCATTCCGAAAAATGATTGATCTGGCGGTTCAAGACGTATTTTGCAAAAACCTCACAAGTATCAAAATTCGCTAGGAACATA